TCACGAGACCTTAACATAATTTTTAGGAATACGTTATTTTATTGTTTTGTAAGATGTATTGATAATTTTAGGTTAGATTCAACAGTTTTTTTATATAATCTCGATTAAAGCTCACACATGGGTGGGGTAAAAAGGACCAACTGACCTTTACCCTGGAAAAGCGTAAAAAATAAACATTTAAAATTAAACAAATTTACAAGCGTTAAATTAAATGAGTAAATTAGTTATTACAACTCTGCTGATGAAGATTTTCGACAAAATACCAGATCAAGGTTATAAGAGTGTTATTTCTGTGAAAAATCTACCCATGAATTTTATATTTTGCATTGGTTGAATAATGTAACTTCAAAATTAAAATGAGACATTGAACCTGTTTGCCCGCTGTTCATCACATTTTACCGCGCCTTTGGGGTAAAAAAGTCCAGAAGAAGAAAAAAAAACACATTTCTACAATGATGAATTAGCTGGGGCTTTTACTGAACATAGTCATATAGTTGTTTGTACGATATGTGTTGTTTGTTGTGATATAATTGGTTTGGTTTTCAGAATATAATTGCTCAAAGTCAAACTGGACCTTTATGCCCCGCCCTACCCTATATATATAAATTAGTCCTGGATTTTTCAATGAATTGATTTTTGATATTTTTCCAAATATCGAAAAAATAATTTTTTGTCGGTGCTTCTGAACTAGAAACGCTCCATCATCAGGTTTTCTGTCAAAGACATTTTTTGTAACTATAATTATTATTTTATAACTATATTGATAAATATTTTGGTAAAACCACTATGTTAGGATACATTTAAAATAATTGCTTCTTTAATTATGTCATTTTTACAGAAAATCTGATGATGGAACTACAACATCTTCACAAAAAATTAGTGTATTTTTTGGATTGATTTAAATTTATATAAAATATTTGATTGATGAATCCTGGATTTCCTTATAAATTAATTTATATTTCTCTCCAGAACATTTTTTTCTTTTACATACTGTATTAACAAATTATGCTTTAACATAGTTATAACTTAATTTTGATAGAAAATGTTACTATAGAACAAAAACAAACCTTAAAAAACTTAGTTTTTTTATTTTTTGGTGAACATTTAGTTCAGAAGAGAAACAATAATTTATGTATGTATATCTAAAAGACATGTAAATATTTATATCACATTTTTTGAAATGTTGAAAGTAATATATTGAATAAATCTATAATTAACATTAGTACTGAATTCCTACCTTTGAAAGATTCAATTTGTCCCCAATCCAGCGTGTTAAACTGTAATCCCAATATGAAAACACTTGAATATTATTCACAAATCACTAAAATATAATTAAAATTGAATTTAAATACGATTATTTGGCATGACACTTCGAGTGCACCACAATAAAATATGTTTACACACAAGTTACTAATACTCACAATGCAAGGTCACTAACAGAATTTCAACCTATATTCCTCGAAGGTATGATAATCAAGGCGGTCTCGAAACAAATATTTGTTAGGGATTAAAAGTACATAGGCCGGGGCTTATGATTTATCTCGTGCAAAACTCCGTTATGATATGAATTAGTTTTCGTTCATAAGTATTTAAATCGATTTATTTCCTGGGATAAATAACGCGATAAAGTACGCTGTGCATGTAGTATCGCAACGCCACGTTCTGGTAATGATACTCCGTGCAGTGGTAAACACACATTCAGGTAGAAGAATCGAAGTGGGGGCAATTCTCTACGGTCGTGCGTATTCGTATTCACAGCCGACTCGGTAACGAAATACCTGTTGATTGTAGTCGAAGCCGATGCATTAATGGAAAGAAATCGCGATTTGTACAATGCAATTGTTCATAAGATGATCAGCGATATTTAGATAAAGATAAGATGATTATGTTCTACCATTTCAGCTAATTGCGAAAAAACTGTATGAATGTAGTAGAACTTTAAAGTAACAATTGTTTTGTTGAGAATACCTTCTAATTGAATTAATAAGCATATAACAAAGAAACTTTTCCTTATTTTTCCTTACTATCACAAGTATGTTTATTATTTAACAGTTTATCATTCAAATATTAAACATTACCGGTTAAGGTACAAGTGAAGAAATCTAATGAGACATTTACCACGTTTCCAATCAAACAAGTATTGTCTTAACAAGTATCCGACACCAACAGTTATATTAAAAATTAATTTAAATAAAACGAATTTATTAATGCATAAACAATAATCTCTTTTTGATAATTTTCATAGCATCTCTCATTGTATCTGCCAAACTCAAAATAAACATCATTTTGACTTTGATGCATCTGACGTTTATTCGGCGGCGCTACCAACATACGAATTGATATGTGATGTGAAGTACAACTATGATGTAAGGGTACAAACACACAGGCGTTAATTGAATACTTTTGTCGTAAATTAAATATATGTATTATTATTTATATAAATTTAAATATTGCATAATATAAACGTTTTTATGTACAAATACATTAGTATATCAACAATAAAATAACACAATGGGCAGACCAGCGTTCGGAGAACTTTTTTAGCCTAAAATATTTTTGTCTAAGTTGATATTACTCCCATGGCGAAAAAAAATTACTCCTATAAGGAAAACTATGTAGAAAATACTGTAAATTTCATTTAAAAATACATACTTTGTTTGGACTTATTTTCAATTTATTATATTGCCCATGAAGGTGGAATCTTCATGGCATTGAGCTTTTACACCTCTACACCTTTTCATTTTATGGTTGCTACCCTGTAGAGGGGGTAGCGGAATTTGGATTGGACTTAATTTTTTCAACAAATCAGTGTCAAACTTAATACGCATATACATACTTTTTACCCCCAAAAAATCCATTTTTATTCCATTTGGGGTAATTTACCCCGGTTTCCCGACCACTGCAATAGACGATATTAAAATATTGTATGTGTTCAACTTGAAGTGTTAAGTAAATAATCCGTTAACTTTGTTAATAGAGACAATTTTATTATATGAGATATTCTTATTTTTCACATAATATATAATAATTTAAAAAAGAAGACTTATATTATTATGTATGAATATGCATTATTATTATTAAAACCTAAGAAATAATGATTTAATTGTAATATTCAAATGCTGATATTATAAGTTTTGAAAACTTTATTAACTTCCCGTAAGTATAGGGTAAGTTATAGTAAAAGCAAATAAATCGAAAATGAGAGTTTGTCCATATCATTAAGTTTCAAAGGTCTCTGCACATTTTGGCATACTTTAGAAAAAATGGATGTATGTGTTCGGATACAATTTTTCGGCCACGATTTCAGGCGCACTGATCCACCGATTTGAATGATTAAAAAAACTTTCGATTCCTATTGATAGGGAAATGTGCTGATTACATAGACCTTATACAATTTCATGGACTGCTAGTCCCCATACATTTCTCAAGTAAAAAAGTGTCAAAAGATGTTCTATGGTATGAGGGCATACGAGGGTAATTTTGCGGCCGAGATATGTCAAACTCGATTGCTTAAACGTCAAATGAAAGTCCGTGTGTTCGAAATTGTGGGGAAAATATTATATAATATACAATTTATGTTGATCTAATGAATGTAATGAACTATTTATTTATTTATTTATTTTAGTTATACAAAGTGTTTAAGGAAAATTAGAAAAAAAAATTAAAACAATATTTTACATATTATAAAATTTACTGAAAATAAGAACAGTTAGCTAGAGCTATTATGGGAAATTAGAAAGAAATAATGAAATATTTGTTTAAATGTCATATATTTATTATTGGTGTTTAAAAAGCACAATTTTCGTGTGAAAGTGGGGTACATGTCTATCAACTTTGCTTTTTTATGTTCTTCATGGTGCATTCTATTTGTTAAGTACATTTTACCACAGACCAAACACATTTTAGAAGACATTCTACTTCTTATTAAATTTTGTCTGCTTCAAACAAATTTAAAACGCGGATTTTTATCCTCTTTTAGGTAAAAAACACGAGCGATCAAAAATCTCGTAACTATAAAATTTAAGCGATCGAGAGCATTCGACTAATCTCGGTAATTTTGACATATCTCGGCCGCGAAATTACCCTCGTATGCCCTCATACCATAGAACATCTTTTGACACTTTTTATGCGCTCAACTAGCAGTCCATGTATTGTATAAGGTCTATGGCTGATTAGTTTTTGGCGTAGACAGGTCTATTCGTTTTGAAGAAACGGGGCAAAAAGTGCCGAAAACGGTAATTTCGTTTTTGAGAGAACGGAGCGCCGGATTTGTATGATTCAAAAAACATTTTGCTTGTTTTGACAAAATGTAAAACTAATTAAATTTTTGGAAAGGCAGGTCTAGCGGTTTCGGAGATACTGAGAAAAAAGTAAAAAAAATCATATTTAGCGGTCAAAAATAATCATTAGATATATGTTAATCAAATTATCAGATATTTTATAAAGATTTTAAAAATGAGTACTAATTTTGTTTAAATTTTTCTGGGTTTTAACCCAAAATTGCACGGTTCAAACAAGTATCAAAATTTTCAAAAAAAAAAAATGTTTTTCCAAAAATTTCAAAAATATACACAGTTTTATACTTTAAATATAAATATTAAATTAACAATTCATTTTAAAAATGTATATATAATTCATATGCGTTATTCTAAACGTAAGTAATATCATTAATTATGTTTACTTATCTATGAGTAATATATCCTCAGATAGATTTGGCAAGTTAATGTAAAGCAAGCAAAACATTCTCAAGTGTTTTATGCGATAAGATCGTCGCTATGTAATATATAAGCGATAAAATACATAGTATTTATAATTACCTATTTGAAAATATTTAAAACAATTGTTATTAATCATTGATCAATATTTATTGATAACTGATTGTTTTCATGAGTATTTAATTATGGTTCGAGAAGTATTAGTCCCTAAAAAACTCACCCGTGGCGCAGTAAATCGCATACGATCTTTCAACATTTAATTGTTTGATTGAAATAGAACAACTTGACGCGTGAAGTGAGATGCTGTGTAAGTCTTTTACGCACAGTGAAAACATAAGATTTTCGGAACCAGTTTGTGTTCATGACAATGTTTCTCGTGTAGTGTGTAAAATGTTTTTTTATTTGAAAAATGGTTCGGTGTTGTGGTTTTGATGGAACTATTAGTCTGCAATGCTTGCTTGGATTTATAAATCAGAATGGGTGGGTGCTTAGGTACATCTAGAACAAGGAGTGTTGCTATAGATGGTTCACCAGGAGTTTCGAGACCCAATTCATCAGGTGAGCACTTTTCTAGTTTTACTTTATAAGATAATATGCACGTCAGTGACGTTCCATAATTATTTTAAAATTTCCTTCATATAATTCATTTTCAACCTGCTTGTTTATATTTGTGTTACTTGACAGTTTTTACTAGGGCACTTAAATTATAAAGTGACGTGTTGTATTGCGAAATAACTGATCTCTGTAATTAAGTACGAATGTTGTAACAATTTCAATTATAGGTGGTGCTAGAAAAAATCACCCTCTGTGTCATGAAACTATACGGTGGAAATCAGATGTTCCATTGACTGAAGGTCAGTTACGTAGTAAAAGAGATGAGTTTTGGGACACTGCCCCTGCATTTGATGGCCGTAAGGAAATTTGGGATGCCTTACGAGCTGCTGCCGTTGCAGCTGAGACAATAGACTTTGAATTAGCTCAGGCTATTTTGGATGGTGCCAATATTTCAGTGCCTAATGGGTATTTAACTGAATGTTATGATGAGTTAGGGACAAGATATCAAGTTCCAATCTACTGTTTGTCATATCCAATAAATATTGTTAAAGAAGATAATGGCAGAGATTCCCCAGCTGATTGTTCAGAACCTGTTGATGCCGGAATAGAAATGACTCTAAAGTTACGTTTATCATCTACGTCTCAAGATATTAAACTTCAAGTTTATTCGAAGGATACAATTGGACAGTGCAAAAAAAAGTTACAAGTATGTTTTCATATGATTTTTTTATTTCCCTTAATGTTCAACAATTAAAGTACACTGGAAGGAAGATTAAAACTTCATAGAAGGCTTTGGAATATTATTTAACATGCTTAAACTGACTACTTTACTTTTTTATATTACCATTTTGATGACAATGATACCAATATTGTATTGAAAAATTGTTGAAAGTTTCTAAAATATTGTTACGATAAAAGCATTGAACATCAATAAAAGTTTCATGCATTTTTTACATAGGTTTGTTCAAAATCCTTACCTTTTGGCTAAAGGCCTTCATTCAGTGGAAAAGTACTAAACCTAATTAAGCCTAAAGAAAACAATTTTGATGCAAATATTTAATTGTTTATGAAAAGTTGCAAGTGGAAGATGAGTTTAAGAATTTTCATATTTCTGATCACATTTGCAAGAAAACATACATTACTCAAGCATTTATTGTTGGTTTTGTGATAGTATTGATGAGATGATGATATTATCTGAAATATTCAACATTTTATTTAATTTGTTATTTAAGGTTCAAGAGGGAGTTGAGAGTTTATGTCAGCGATGGTTTTTTGGAGGAAAGCTTTTGGGAGACAAACTGACTGTGGAAGATAGTCGTGTTCAGCCAGGCTATGTTGTTCAAGTAATAATCAATACAGAAATGCTACGAAATCGGCCTAGCTAGCATTATACTAAGTTGTCTTTTTTAACTTGTATGGGCTTTAAACTAAACTTGTGTGTTGATACTACCATGCACTTGAGTAATTTCAGCATTTATTTGAACCATTGCAGGACTGATTTCTAAATTTATCAATATATATATATATATATATATATATATATATATATATATATATATATATATATATATATGTATATACATAGATGAGCTTTATTTATATGTACAAGCCGTGTGTATGTATATGGAGTTGTATATTTAATTTCATACATGTATATTGAAATATATTTCCTACTTTGTTAAATATATATATATATATATATATATATATATATATATATAGTTGTATTTTAACATATGTCTATATTTCACAATTTGATTTATTTTTGTAACATTAAACATAATTTTAAACTCTGCTCTCATTTGATAATGTAAATGAATAGATTGAAATTTTGTAAATATTGTAAGAATTGCATTAACCAGAGAATGTAAATAAAGTTTATTAATAATTTTCTATATGTAATTACGCAAACTTTAATTTTTTCTAACTCGACAATATTTATTCTTCTGCTAATTTATGTAATTATATTTTTTATATCTTAAAAATAACTTAGATAAAATTTGCATGGTGATTTAAATAAATACTTTGCAAATTACTTCAAGCAAATTTTATTATGATAAACACTATTGAATCAGATACCATTAGATGCGACTGGTTTTTGTTGAAGTTGAGTTGCAGGCTTCATAGATTGTTATGAAGTTATCATAATTAAATTAAATTATTCTGTGATAATTTCCCATATCATGCAAAATATTGAGATATTTGTCATTATGTTGAGTTGTATTATAATTTTGTGCAATCAATATTTCTAATAACTTGTAGATAATAATAGTGCCTAGTAATATTTACATATTGTGTAGATTAATAACTTGGGTGTAATGGTGTTTCTTCCATAAATCGTGTATAGTGGGTCTGGTTATCATTTTAAATTTGATACATAATTTTGCAGTAAATTTTATTTTATTGACTTTGAAGTATATTTGAAATTATTAGAGTGTATAGTTGAATTTATAATTTTAATTGTTTTAGAAATTGATATAATCGCAATATGTTTTTTTTTTTTTACTTACTGAAAAGACTTCTGTATTGATTATCTTATAAGGATTTGTTGTGCAAATTAGTATTTAGGTTTAACAATTTTCTTAAATAATCGAAACAACTTGATATTAATTTGATTAATTTAATTCAGTTGATTTTAAAATAAATATTTATAACAAAGTCGTAATGATTTATGGATAAATTAGATGTTTTTATATATATATATATATATATATATATATATATATATTCACAACATACATTTGTATGTGTATATATAACAGTGTTGTGCCAAACAACGATTTCACATTTTTATTTCGAATGAGGTACATATGACAGTTTATATGATGTTATATCTTAAATTTACAACGAATACGATAACACCGATTTTTATAAATTTCATCTTTAATTTTGAGTTGCTATTTTTTTTTTTAATTTAGTTTTTGAATGTTTATAGTTGTAAGTTACTGCAACTTTGAATTATAAAGAATATTTTTACATACAAAACAAAATTTATAAACAGTTGCAATATAGAAATAAATAAGAATCGGTGGCTCATAGGATATATACATATATCAACATACAAATATATGGGTTCTATCTGTACATTTACATATATGTACATACTTGTATGGGTATACATATATACAAGTCAACTACATTTGTGTTACGTTACATTATACAAGTAGACACATATCCTCGAGATAGGACATGAGAATACAAGTATAAACAATAGCTCATTATTATTTACTTACAATTAAGTTAGAAGTTTCTATATATACCTAAAATAAATCAACAATTTTAAATTTTCTAAATTTTATTTATAACATTATCTGTAATAAGATGGAAGTTGGGCTTGAATTAATATTATTTCCAAATGTTAACATATTTTTATATAATCTTTTTTTTTTATCATATTTGTTGTTCAAAATATGATTGTTATAATTTTCAACATCCAATGTGTGGTATATATTATTTTTCAATAATATTAACACTGCCCATAACCAGAATTCTTATCATTACTTTATGGATAAAAGCTGCTATACATAAATACCCATATCGGAAAAAAACTTTATAAATATGAAAATAATTTTCATTTTCCACTGCTACAGTCGAAGTACACTGAAAATATTAAAACTGTATCTGATATGCCCTTACACAAACATACATTTATATTTGAATATACATACATATTTATATTCATATATATATATATACTACGTATATTTTCAAATTGTTGTGTGCCATTGGAAAAATATATATACTTCGACTGCATCAAATGGTGGTTACCAATGATTGTGTCTCGGTAAAAATATATCTACTTTTCACAAATTGTAAATTACAGAAAATTCACAATCTTTGGTTTAATCTTAAGGGGAACACTGGTTAGTTTAGGTTCTGATATGTTTCGTACTCGTACAAGATTGCTAATCCCGCTAAGGCATCATATTATATGCAAGTCGCTTTATTCAATGTATGACGACCACAGTGTTTGTTTCATGCCCAATATCTCAAAAGTATCTTTTAATATTCAATTAATATTTGATTTTGTTGGTCCTTCGACGAATCTTTTTTTAGTACTGAAGTGTTGATTATAATTTGAAGTATTTGTCGTCCTGTATACTAGAATTATTTACTTAAGTGTTCATTATTTATTAAATTTGAATAAATATATATATAATATTAGAATAAAAATCTTTATAACAAAATATTCAATTAAGTTATCTATTATAGAATAGCCCTGATATTTTTAAGAGCAAACATTGAACTATATATTATATGGCAAACAGTACGGCAAAAGCTACAAAGTATTTAGAGTAGATTTTAAAACACGCTGTAAACATTTATAATATATCTCCACGACTTTGCAAGTAACTTAACTTTTAACTAATATCATATAATCACTCAATGCCAAAACTTTTAAATTCTCTTATTGTTTTTCTTGATTATAAATGATTTAAGAACAAATTTAAATTGAAAGGGACGAGTTTTTATCGTCGAATTTGGCAACGTGGTGCAACTCACATATGTTGATTATTAGGTAGCTTTTCAGTATCCGGAGTTAAATGGACGCTGCTGCTGTTGAGGCGGAGGAGCGTTGTTAGCACTTTGGAGGAATGGATTATTGGCCCCTCCTCCTGGTACGTCTAGATTACCGCCCGTACTTTGATAAGTTGCGCCGTAGTTCTCTTGGCCAGCCATGTCGTGTAGACGGGAACTGGACAACGCACGTGGAATGGGATTGCTAGGTACGCCATGAGGAGCTAAATGTGCTGTTTCTTCGGCAACCTACGGATAATGAATTTTAAAATACCGTTTTGTGATTGTAATTTCTAATTTCTAAAAGCTGCAAAAATGAGTCAGTTTTAATTACAATTAATTCCATGTATTTTACCTGATGCGGATCTTCTGTTGTAGGTATATTAGATACAAATCCTTGTTCTTTTCTGTAGAAGTTAATGAAAATAAAGGCAGCTAATACTATGAGGCATATTACACCATAACCGCGAAATGTAGTCGTCGTTCCGAAATAGTTTACAAACATTCCTCCGATTACAGCACCACATCCGCGTCCAAGCCCATGGTGAATTCCTTGCAAGACTCCCTGAGCTGAAGAACGAAGTTGTTGTGGAGTATTGTGAGCGATATAAGAACAGCAGGCAGCCCAAACAGCGGCATGAGTGATTCCTGATTGTATTAGATTTCAATTGAATGTTCCGAAAAATGTAAGTTTTTGTTTTACTATATAATCAAAAATAATATTAGAAGTTAAACAATTACCTTGCATAAATTCGAATGGCAGAACCCACCAAGGGTCTTTTAACCAAGAAATGTAGAGAAAACGCAAAATATTTCCAACCAAGCCTAGACATAGGACCTAATAAATGTCAAAAATACTTTTATTATTACAGTTCTTAAGATTTATTGAATACTTCCCTAATCTAAAACAACAAGACGTTACCTTAACGTGCCCAATTTGTGTAATAAGCCTAAAACTGAAGAAGTACGCAAAAATTTCTGAAATGTGGTTTATTACTGAGGCGACGCCAAATAGAGTGGGTGAACCGCCGTAATCTTGAAGATGCCAAAATAGAAAGGTAAATATAAGTCCGATGCCAAATCCCATGAACCAAGCGACGAACAAGAACGACGCACACTTCAAATTCTTGAATTGTTTCAGAACTGTAACCCACTCCGGCATCTCTCTGGTTGTTTGTGCAAACATCTTTGTCTGCGAGTTGTATTAAACAAAAATTAGTAATGATGTACAAAATAAGAAAATATATTATTTTATACTTACTTGAGCACCCAATGGTTGCACATCTTCTGTGGCTCCTGTTGCAGGTGGTCCAGCTAATGAAGGCAGTTGCAATTGTTCGGCGAGCTGGTTTTGCATTTGTTCTTCATGAGAAATTGGTGGCGCTACTTTTTGGACAGGTTCGGGCTCTGGTTCTCGAAAATCATATTTGAAATTTATTTGAGTGGCTGTTATCAGTGCTGCACCCATTAAAACGGAGAATGTTGCAAAACAAATTGTGTAGTTCTTTTCTTGCTTTTCTGGGCCACATGGATGATCAGGAAAAGCTGTAGAATGATCTAACGCTATGCCAACGAAAAACATAGCTAATCCCCAACCTAATGAGCCAAACATTCGCTGATGACCATAACGATCGGCGTCTTCTCCTAACAATGTTATAACTGCTGAGTCTGCTAGTGTTATTGCCGGAGCACTAAAGAATTCGCCAATAATAACTAAAAGTAATAGCAAGAAAAATGCTTTCTGTATATCTTGTGTGCGATAGACGATGGATGAAAATAACGGCTTAACCCAACCACTATGGATGTTATCATCGTAATTGCTGGCAGCTTTTACATCCAGAGGCGACTGACCGATAGGAAAATGTAAACGTAGTGATCGTGGAAATTCATCTGGAACAGAACGTTTCAGCATTCGAGTTACATCCGGTGTACGTAACTCAAATTCGGTCAAATTTCTACGCTGCAGGCAACTTGCAGCGGGAGGCTGAATGAATCCCAACGGTAACGTAAATATAATCCATGCTGATAGCGATGCTAGTAATAACATCTTTCCCTTCTGCCATCTGTTACATTAAGAGATAATTTTTTATGTATTTGCAATATTACTATTCGAATTCTTACCTGTCGGCATAACTGCCCCAAAATGGTGCTGATAAAAATTCCACAAATGGTCTCGATCCTATTAATAATCCACACTGTCCAGGGTTCATCCCCATTTGTTTAAAATATACACCCATAAGTGGAAACAACGATCCAAAGGCAGAGTAGAAGAAGAAGTAAAATGTTTTTACCATCAATAGTTCTTGGTCCACCGCTCCGAATACGAGTTCTATTATGTCAGAACGACCACGAATTTTGTGTGTAGCTTCTTTTGGTTGCGGGTATCTACAACAAATATACAGCGTATGTTACAAAAAGTTTTCACAAAAAATATGTTCAGTTTCACGATCTACTTCGATGTGTCCACTTCGCCTTCGGCCTCTGGGTCGACCAGGGGCCTGATACCCTGTGCAGGTGCGATCTGTTGCGGAGCACCCATGCTTTGATCGTAGTCGTATTCATTGTGCATTCTCTCCATTGTTGAGTTGTTTGATCTTTCTCTGCTCTACTTGCAACTGCACAAACGGTTTGGCATGCAGTCGATGCACTGGTCCGCCGTTTGGGTATCTAACCTTGCCTGCGATGTCGTATTTACGCACGGCGTGCGAGTACGGACAATCGATTTACGAAGGTTCGTGCGATGTGAGAGCTTTCAAGTCTCCGATCAATAATCAACCAAAGTCAAACGACATCCCGCAACGCGCACGCTCCACGTGCAAATTGCTCATGTGCTGCACGAGGCGGTTCGAACATCTACTGAAAATTTCAGGAAGTTTACTAAGGGAAACGAGCAGTAGCGCTTCTGTATTCTGTAGCAACTGTTAAAAGTAGATTTAAACTAGTGGTGTATGGCACCGTGCCTTAATGCAAATTGCTGAAACTTTTTATATCAAAAAATATTTTTTATGAAAAAGCCTTCAAAATACTTGAATTCAAAAAACTTGATTTTTGAGAATTTTGAAATTTTTGAAAAAAATTGACTTCTTTTGAAAAAAAATTGGATATTTTTTGAAAATACTGAACTTTTTTCAAAGAATCGCGCTGCGTGGCCGTTTTAAAAATGAAATATCAAAGCGCGTAAGCGCCGCGCCAAAAAAATGGTACTTATTATTAAAATCTCTATAAAACTGATAATTTGATGTTCATTTGTCTAATGATCATTTTTAGCTGCCAACTTTACTAATTTACTTTTTCTATAGGATCTCCAAAACCGTTGGGTCTGCCTTAAAAATTTAGTCAGTCGTTCGTTTTGTCAATACAAATAAAATGTTTTTTAAATCATTCAAATTGGACGTTTCGTTCTCTCAAAAACTGAATTACCATTTTGGCCTCGTATCTTCAAAACATTCAAATGGCCTCGTATCTTCAAATATTTTGTGTGCATAGTTGTTTTATTGGTACTTATATTTTTAGAGAAAATTTGTCATTAAATTTTAAATTTAAATTGTATCGTAATTATAAATCTTGATTCCATCTATCGTCGCTGTATATTGTAACATAATAATATTGTTCGCGTATTGGGTAGAACGGTTAATTTAAATCTAATTGTATAATTTGTTAATTTTGAAACTTATAGTACGAAACTTTCATAATCTCACTATTTAATTGTAAAGATTTTTTGTTAAAAAGTGATTCGTTCATTTGAATTTTTGTACTTTTTGGTTTTAGATCCGTAGAGTCATGTTTAATTTTTTTGTTTTAAACGAAGATTAACGAAAATGTATTAACATTGTAAAATAATATATGTGTTACCAAACTTTAAGAATAATAATTATAAACTTTAAGCAACTGTTAACTTTGTTATGCACTGGAATTAAATTTATCTTATGCTATATGGAAAGTTTTGATATATTATTATCAATTATCAATTATCCTTTTTTAATTGATAAGTTTTAATATTAATTAGTACGAATCGGACAAGAGTTGATTAGACGGCGTAGAATTTACTGCATGCCGGAAATTTATCTAAAATTCTATAGCAGTCTGTCAGAGCATTGACAGATTTGTTTACAGCAACTTATTACGCATTTGTTTAAATTTAGTAACAATGTCCTGCATTGAACTAGTTTTCTCAACAATGTTGCATATCAGATGATTACAATTATCATTTACACATTTACAATTACATATTTATAATTGTATTTAGTTGCAAGATAATAAAGTTAGAATTTAAAGGATATTTTTAAAATACTGTCCATACATATTTTCCACCAAATTATGTATCCCTACAACCCATCTGTCGAACCTCATATCTCCGGAATTAAAAGATAGTTCCGCACTATTTGTATCACAATGAAAATTATTTTATGTTATGTAACAGTTCTGTAAACGTATGTTTTTTGACAGTCAATTAATGTATTATAACATCACAACAATATTGTACAATACATTTACATATCTTATTAATTTTGAATTTTCAGAGCAAATTAAGTATTTTTATTCGCATTCAACAAATGTGTTTGCAGAAATTTCATTAGACAATTCAGATTTTTACTTGATTGAATTACTTTAGGATTTTATCTAATATATGTTTTGAATCAATTTTAGTTGTTCTGGAAGGGGAAGTATGGACAAAATGGCATGGTGCTTTGTTTTTTTAATGGTATTTATTTATTTAATGTTGTTACAATTAGTCTAAATCGTTTTTACTTATCTTTGATTTATTGACTACCAATAAGATGTTTTTTATATGACAACCTATTACAAAAACAATTTATATTGTCAACCTATAGTACAGACAAAGTGACATGTAGGGTAAAAACATATTGAGATGATAATTTTCAAGAAAACAGTTTACAAATAAATTATTTAATCTTCTGGGACATTATCATATGAAGCATGAGCCTAAAGGGTACAAATCATGCATAGTAACCAATCTTTGCCATGCTGAGAATGGTAAAAGAGGGTTTAGCAGTAAATTCTAAGCTTTTCTTTTTACCAGCGTTACAATGGTTCTTTTGGTCTGTTTTTAGCAATTATTTCTTGAATACATGGAACAGAAGTTAAAAGTCAATCATCTTTGACAGATTTAGAATTTTTTCTTGGCCCCTGTAATGCTTGCGAAATAGTAGTCATTTTGTCCATTGCATAAGTATGTCATTTTGTCCGAAATTATTTTAATAAAATTGATCGAAATCACTAGTACTGGCATAAAGCAATTGATTTTAATTTAAATAATTAAGATTATCTATAAATAGAACCCCAACAAACATGAGAAAAACACCATCAAAATAAACTTATGAAGGTGCGAAACACATTTGAACTGATTACTTCTACAGGACTGTGACAATGACCCTCAACATCTGACAGGATTGTTATTGTGGCTTTCTTCATAGTATACAGTTGTTTCTTCTTAGTATACAATCGTTACTAAAACTTACCAGTTTTTAAATAAGGCTACTTTATCATTTTGTCCACATATATCATTTTGTTCGTATTTTCCTTATATGGATAAGAATTCATATATTAAATGACTATATATTAACTGCATTTTTTCTCATTTAAATATTACTATTTTCATTTCAGATAGACACTTCATAGATGATACTATTCTAGGAGGTTTTCTTCAGCAAAAGTAAAGTGAAAATAACGACATGGACTAATTTGAATTAAAACTTGGTGCGGAGGTAAGTTGATCGCTATTTGTTGTTTAATATTTAAGGGACTTTCGAAATAGACATAATTAACAATATTGAATAATTGTTTATGAAATATATAATAGTTATATATTTGCATGTATGTGTTATGCGAAAACTAATTAGTTTCTGACGTAGATACAAATAGTAATCGGTTACAAATGAACTACATTTTGTAATCAGTTCTCTGTTATATGTAACAAATGTTGAATGATAAAAGAAAAAAATCGCAATCACGTTTCGATATTGTACAGTTTATGAATTTGCTAAATTATGCAATATTTATATCGAAACACTTATCGTCTTATTCTGACCTCGCGATAAACTGCTGAAGTTCGGTTCAAACCTAATATGGAGAGGTCGCGCAAATATATCGAAATACCACCAACTATAAACTTAAATTGCGTCTGATAATATTTTTCCATAAAACTTACACAAGAAATACTTTATAAATAACTCTGAACGCGTCATATATAATCGTAGTGCATTTTCTATATAAACATTTTCTAATAAAATTGTAATTGGTAAAAATTTAGCATGCCAAATATATATATATATATATATATATATATATATATAAATATATATATAGATCTTATATTTATAACAATGTAAGATCTTTTGCTCCAGTGTCTGCCTCCGGCCACATAGAAAATGCGCAATAAATTTCTTAAGAAAAAATCTGCTTCGTTTTTTCATCTACGTGATTGTTGCAATTTTTGTGAAATTCGATACAAGCACATATCACATAAGTGTCATTACATTATATTTCCATTACGTACACGTAATAATTGCACTGTTTAGAATTAATTCACGTAACACATTTTTTCAATTCATGTTTCTAACATTTCACACAATAGTACCAGGTTGAGTTGTAAAACGACTAAAATAGAAACAGATGTACGACAAATTATGTCTATGCAAACAAATAAATAAACATGCACAATTGCAATAAGCACGTTCTTGTTTGTAAATGTTTACACAAATAAATAAAGTTTTTAATTTGTTTATGAATAACATGTTGGATCAGAGTACATTCATTGACTCTTAGTATAGGAAAACTTTTAAGCAATTATGTGATTTACGTATCACTTTATTTGTTTTAAAATAAAACAATAATTGTGAGAAATATTACAAATAATAAGTTCGCAATTGTTTACATTATCTTTCGTACCTTATTTGACTTTATGAAACGTCAATAAAGCATGGGAAAAGATTTTTTAATAAATATTGATCATCCAAGGAAATGATTGTTATCTTTAATTTAATTTAACAAACCTATATAATGGGTTAAACATATTTAAAATGAAACATAAGGTTTAGAGGTCAAATGACTTGATTTCAAGCAGCATCGGAATCTATTTTCACTTGAAAATAGAGATCCAACGCATACTTCCGAAAGAAAATGTTTCTTCCGGGCTATGTATTTAATTAAAGTACATTTTTAATTGTTCATGATACTTTAAGTTTGGTTTAACGACTTTAAATAAGCAAAGGCTTAAGTAAAAATATTTTTTATTCGCAATTTAACAGTGCAAAACATTATATGAACCAAAATATTAAATCAAGCATATAACTTTCTAATTAAAGCATATACCAAATCATATTACTATTTTTTTCTAGCAATCCCATGTTGGGATAAACAGAACAAATTATTTTCACAGTGTTTATTCAAAACTGTGCTTTTCTGTGGATTAGTGGTTAAAGCTCTGGCCTTTCAACCAGAACATTCCAGGTTTGGTACCATTTTCAGACAACCTGATGCCAAGCACTAGTGACATCGGTTTTCTCTTGGAAAAATAGATGAAAACATATTGCCGAGTAAAAATTGCCATTTTCGGTATTGCTGCATCAAATTAAAACTCATCAGTATTAGAAAAATTCTGGTAATAAAATATATAAAATGAAGTTAGGTAATCATAAGGTTTCCTTCTGAGAGAAGTA